TTTGAATATTACATGTTAATAACTTGATTGGAATTATAACCTTGAGTTGACAGTTTGATACTTTGAAAATTTTGAGCCAGCCCTACCCCCAAGGGCTGTAGGGTGGGGCTCAAGGGAGTCAGTGTGCTAAAATTTCTTCATTTTCCTTGTTTAGAATCAGAGGTGCTAGTTTCAAATCCTTTTTAGTCTGAAATCTGTATGCTTGATATTGAATAAGGTGGTTTTATTGTTTTTTGTCACTTTGAATAATATTTCTGTTCATGTTAAAAACGAAATCAACTCTCTGTATAAATATATCAGGTGACCGTTAAGGCCCATGGGCCTCTTGTTGAACTGTGTTGTTTGAGCTCATGTCTTTTTTTAACTGTGTTGTTTGAGCTCATGCCTTTTTGAAGTGTTTTGTTTAAGCTCATTTGAAGTATGGCATTTGAGCTCATGTGCATTTGAGGCATTTGCAATTCAGCTGATGTCTGTTTGACTTTTTGAAAGGTGTTCATGTCAATATGAAATTTCCATTTAGAGTTAAACATCTATATTTACATTTGCGCTGCAACCCATTATATGAACATTACCAGCAGAAATGCATTTCATTCGAGTATGAAACTGAAAACAAAAACTCTCGTGACGTAACAAATGGTTTACTTCGCTTCGGATAACATGGAGATGCCCCTGCGTCAAACGGTAACATGACTGGTCAATTATTGGCGCCGTGTTTATTTAAATAGGGCTGTTCTGCCAATATCGTTGAAAGGACAATGCATATTCAAAACGCAGTAAATTAATAAATTATTTAAGAAAAAATAAATAAAATTAAGCAACTGTTCTATAGTAAAAATGCAAATATATAAATTGAATGGCGTTTTTTTTTAAATTTTCATACTGGTATGAACGCTAATCAGTTACATACATAATAAACTGCACTATGGATGTAACAGATTTGCGTTCATGACGGTATGAAAATTAAAAAAAACGCTGTTCAATCCCTATATAAGAAATGTCTGTTTGTTTGAGCACATGTCTGATTGAATATCAAGATTTTTTTGTGTTTGTCAATTTTTTTTTTTCTTGATTATCATAGGTTAATTTCTATGTGATCATGTTTGGTTTATTTAGTTCTTTGTAATACACCATTATATCTCCTTTTTCAATATTGACTGTCACAATTTCCTTTTTTCATATTCTAATATTACATAATTTGTAATATGTACCAATTTTTTGGTTTCAGTTCACAATTCACACAGCCTACACAAAATGTGTAAATGGTATACGTCCCCAATATTATAGTCTTCATGGAAGGCTCAAATAGCCATTACATACTGGTATATTGCGATAGCAAAGTAACAAATTTAGCAAATGTATCAGAATCATGGGGGAGAAGAAAAAGGAAACAGTCTTCAAAATTTAACAATTCAAATTTGGGCAAACATTCCAAATTTCAACCACACCAAAATATTCCAATTTCACCATATTGAAACAATAATATGTATGTCCTGTGGTAAGATAATCAGCATTTTGTTGTCAATGATAGTTTTGCACTTAACTTTGATGGTGAACATTTTTTAAGATTTTTTGAAGATAATAGGTTAGTAAACCTGTCTATTCTAAATGAAAATAGTAGTGTATCGCTGTTGTTCAGTTTAGACAGATTTTTAGGTGCTGAAGCCAAAACATATGGATGTACATTTATGAGGAATTTTTGCCTTGATTATAGTATAAGGACAGAGAGATCATAAACAGGAGTAAAAATTCAAATGAAATACCAGCCACAGCAGTGACTGATTGTAAGGTGTGTGACATTGCCTGTATTTTGATATCAACTATAGTGCATAATGTATGAAGGTTAGAATAATGCTTTTATATCTATATGGAAAGGCATATAATATATAATACTGAGACTACTGTAACACTATGGTGTAATACTTCATTAATTGATGTATAGATGCAGAGTGCAATGAATCGTATCATGGTACAATATATGTATAGGAAAATTATATTAAATTTTGTTCACATATTTATGAAATGCATTTGTCATCACAAGTCTTCTCAAATGTTCTGATACAAGTAAGAGCTTCATATAACATTCCACTGTGACAATGGACTCAAAGTTTGACAACGGACTCAAAAAACTTACATAAAACAAAACTTGTGTCTTAACGTTTTAATGTCTCAGTATTGATCACAAAAACCTGTATCAATTTAGAAAAGATGTTGTATAATTCATCATTTTATCACCATCTATAAAATGTACTAATTACAGGTATGGTGTTTACCTGGGTCCAGTTGTTAACAGCATTAACCCTTTCACCACTATAGACCATAATGGACACATCCAATTCAATGCATGGTAGAGTCTACTTAAGTTATATAGGGATGAAAGGGTTAACAGCTCAATTTGATATTTTAAAAAATCGAAATTAATAGCAAAAATGTTTGTATTTCATTATTCGCGATGTTGATTCGGAAGAAAAAGGCAAATATCAGATTTTTTTATTTTTATTTTCCATTAACAACTCCTTGAGGTAATCAGACTTTAAACAATGCAAGTTGGAAGTGGGAAATTATCAAACTGAAAAATGCCAAGTTCATCAATCCAGTATTGCATCGGGTTCTGAGCAGCTTGAAAACCTTAAATATAGCTGATAGCTTTATAGCTACTAAAGGGATGACAACACCAATTTCGAAATAGTATTTGTGATTTTTTTTACTTTATGGTATTTTTCCTTTTTTTTGCATTATTTCATTAAACAATATTGAGCTTTAAAATCATAAATCAGAAAGCTTTATAATATACGAAGTATTCAATAAGGCTTAGAAATTTTGATGTTCTTGACCTCCTTGATACTTTATGTTTATAATTTGTACAATTTTAAAAATATACAAGGAGTTACACTTATCTGTATCATGCATTATAAATCGTGACAGAAGAGATTAGAAATAGTCACATTGTACATGGAAGAAGGTCAACACTATACTTAAATATTGGTTTACAAGATTAGCCAGAGAGGTTCAAAACAAAATGTGGTGTAGGCACATAGACACACTATGAACTGTCCAATATAAGGTAACATAGACGTGGAAGTCATAGCCAGGAAAAAAAAGTATATATAGATACCCTTATTAAATTATTACCTTTTCTGATAAAAATTCTTCTCGAAACTAGTACAGGTTATAAGTATACCTGGTCAATAAGATAAATACCTTTTTCTGATGAAAATTCTTCTCGAAACTAGTAGAGGGTATAATATACATGGTCAATAAAATAAATATCCTTTCTGATGAAAATTCTTCTCTAAGTTAGTAGATGTTATACATATAGTATACATGGTCAATAAGATAAATACCTTTTTCTGATGAAAATTCTTCTCGAAACTAGTAGAGGGTATAATATACATGGTCAATAAAATAAATATCCTTTCTGATGAAAATTCTTCTCTAAGTTAGTAGATGTTATACATATAGTATACATGGTCAATAAGATAAATACCTTTTTCTGATGAAAATTCTTCTCGAAACTAGTAGAGGGTATAATATACATGGTCAATAAAATAAATATCCTTTCTGATGAAAATTCTTCTCTAAGTTAGTAGATGTTATACATATAGTATACATGGTCAATAAGATAAATACCTTTTTCTGATGAAAATTCTTCTCGAAACTAGTAGAGGGTATAATATACATGGTCAATAAAATAAATATCCTTTCTGATGAAAATTCTTCTCTAAGTTAGTAGATGTTATACATATAGTATACATGGTCAATAAGATAAATACCTTTTCTAATGAAAAAATCTTCTCTATATTAGTAGAGGTATTAGTAGGTGTATCGGCCAATGATATATTCTGATCCTGTACCTGTTAGCAGGAATCAATTACAGTGTTAAGTTCTTTCTGGAAACGTGGTCTTGATGATGTATATAGACAAGTCAGTGGTTAAAATGCTAATTCTTTGATTGCAAACTTATATAAAATAGTAAGGAGATATGTTACCTTACAGTGATATACAACACATCCTATATTTAAAATATTAAGGTTAAAAACCTG